GTGCGCAGGCGCGGGCTAGACTCGAGACCGAGTGTGGGGTAGTGCGCAGGCGCGGGCTAAACTCGAGACCGAGGGTAGGGTAGTGCGCAGGCGCGGGCTAGACTCGAGACCGAGGGTAGGGTAGTGCGCAGGCGCTCTCCCTTGGTGCCTGGATTTTATTTTTGTCTTCTCAGCTGCAGGAGAGCATGTGCTCCGTTTTACCAAGATTTCAGAGCGTGGTTTCAAAAGGGTTTGTCAGGGGCAGAGACAGCAGAGGCTGGATTTCCTCTGAGTACGTGCAGAGTACCTTTGAGCAATCTGCTGTCCAATATTTTGAGAGTAAGGAGGATTTAAGCTTAGAAAGTTGATACAGTGTGTGACCTGCCTGGAAACTTGGAAAGTTTTAGAAATACAGTAATTTGTTTCAATTGCAACGCCAAGGCCTTTCAGAAGTAGTTACGTACTGTTATAGCTGGGGAGAAAAAGAGTAGATTTCTAATTCTCATTTATCAAATCAATGTTTACAAAAACAAAAAAATTAGTGCCCCACGTTGCTTGCTTAGGACTTCTGTCATAGAGAATTAGAAAGCTGAAAAAGTAAATTAGAAAGCAGAAAAAGTTAATGATACTTCAAAAGGAGTGAACATATCCCCTGTTAAGTTATATTAATAATATAATTTAATTATACTTTTGTAATAGCCAAAAAAATAATTGCAAGTAATTAATAATTGTAACTAGTTCCTTTTAGACTCTAGTTTGAATCTTGCTTCAACATTTGGTGCCCTTTCCAAGAATTTGCCATCTGAGGCGATTACCTCAGCCTGTGTGATGGTGGCGCTGGTTGAATAAGAATTCTATTTTGCATTATGCAGAGTTGTTTAGTCATTAAGTCGTGTCCGACTCTTCGTGACCCCATGGACCAGAGCACGCCAGGCCCTCCTGTCTTCCACTGCCTCCAGGAGTTGGGTCAAATTCATGTTGGTTGCTTCGCAGACACTATCCAACCCTCTCATCCTCTGCCGTCCCCTTCTCTTCCCTTCACACTTTTCCGACATCACGGTCTTTTCCAGGGAGTCTTCTCTTTTCATGAGATGGCCAAAGTCTTGGAGCCTCAGCTTCAGGATCTGTCCTTCCAGGGAGCACTCAGGGTTGATTTCCTTCAGAATGGATAGGTTTGTTCTCCTTGCAGACCAGGGGATTCCCAAGAGCCTCCTCCAGCACCACAATTCAAAAGCATCACTTCTTCGGTGGTTAGCCTTCTTTATGGTCCAACTCTCACTTCCATACAGGAAAAACCATAGCTTTGACTTTTGGACTTTTGTTGGTGAGGTGATGTCTCTGCTCTTTAAGATGCTGTCGAGTTTGTCATCAGTTTCCTTCCAAAAAGCAGGCATCTTTTAATTTCGGGGCTGCTGTCACCAACTGCAGTGATCATGGAGCCCAAGATAGTAAAGTCTGTCACTGCCTCCACCTCTTCCCCTTCTATTTGCCAGGAGGTGATGGGACCAATTGCCATCCCCTTCTATTTGCCAGGAGGTGATGGGACCAGTTCCCATGATCATCGTTTTTTTGATGTTGAGCTTCAGACCATTTTTTTTGCACTTTCCTCTTTCACCCTCATTAAGAGGTTCTTTAATTCCTCCTCACTTTCTGCCATCACAGTGGTATTGTCTGCATATCTGAGGCTGTTGATATTTCTTCCAGCAATCTTCTCTGCATAGTAAATTGCCCCAAAACCTGGATACATCTGGCATCAAAGTAGACCAATATTAGAGAAGAGAGAGCAGACATCTAGAGTTGACCTAGACAGCTTTGCTTTGCAACAGAATATCAGCTTGGAAAAATGTCCCTGTAAATTTGTTCAGAAGTGAATCTCTGTACTTACTGTACATCACTTGTCCAGAGGGTTAGCTGGTATTTTAGGATGTTGTAATAGAGTCGTGTAGTCAATGACAGATTGACAACCAAGACACAAACATAGGGTCTGCAGTCAATTGAGATAAGAACTCGCACTTCAATATCTGAGCCAGCACAACAAAAAGACTAGACAGATTATAAATGCTTTTTTCGAGAAGGTAGCCATCTTTGTAAAAACAAAAATAGCTAGCTTTTGACCTGCATTAGTTTTCATCAGGCTATGAACCCATATACTGTGGTTACTGCAGGGAAAAAAAACAACATATTAATGTTCCAAAGGTCCTGGCAGATAACCACACCAGGTCCATGGGTACTGTCTGCCTTTAATTTCCCTCTGATGTCATGGTCTGTAATCCTAAGTGATCACTATATGACTGTGTACTGTATTCTTTTTCCCTCCAGTCGACGTTGGACGTAATCATGGCAGTTCAGATTCTCCGTGTGGCAGCTCTAACCAATGATGTTGAGTTGCATCCAGAACCATTTCCAAGCAAAGTTCTTCTTTTTCATTTCTTTCTCTGGTTCCAAAAGATCAGGTGTAACACTCTGTACTTTTCAGTTCTCCTTATAAATTTGGTATATTTTAACTTTCTGCCTTTAACACAACTTCTTCATTCACTCACTGTAGTGCTTCCTTGTTGGTCACCCTCCAAATCCTACAGACCCTAAGCATCCTGTGCTAAATTTCAAATGCTTCTTCCTCCTTTTTTTTTAACTTGTCTGTATTAAAGTTCATAACACCAAGCTACAGATTAGACCCAAGAATAGATAGCCCTATACAGCATGGCTTCTCAAAAACAAGTTTAGTTAAGATATTTTTTTAACATTTTACCTGTTTTAATTATTTAACATATTATTAATTGGTCTTATAGGTTTCTTGTTTCCTAATGCGTATCTCACTGTAGTTTTAATTCTTTTTTTTTTTATAAGGTGAACTGCCTCGGGTCCCCTTATTGAGAGAAAGGCCGCCTGGAAATAAGGCAAATAAATAAGTTTTAGGTGGTTGTTATGGTTTTCCGGCTGGTTGGGCG